TGACGGTCTTTATTATCGATAATCATGTCCAGGAAGTATAACAAAAATACAGTTAAAAATAAAATTCAAATGGAATTTATCGTATTTATTGTCTTTTATATCTTATAAGAATTCAATAAAATGTTTGGCAATTTGTTTTTAAATAACTACGATTGTTTGAGGTAAAACACGATTATATTTTATTTTCTTAAATCTAAATTCTAAATTTATATTTTTCTCATTCTTAAAATATTTTTCCTTGTGTTTTAAATTCCACAATCTTAAAAAAATATATTAGGCCTAAATTGAGACGTCACACAAAATAATAAATTATTTCAAGAAATGACGGAAAATTTTCGTTTTTCCTGCAGTATAAATTCAAAATATGGAAAACTTAACCTGTTGATTTTTTTTTCTGTTGACATTTTACGAAGTTCATAGCAGAAATAACAATATTATCGATATTTTTCGTTCAGCAGAAAAACGTAAATTATTTCACATTTGTAAATATAAAATATAAGTAATGCATGTACACCTGTGAGAGTTTATTTATTTATTTGCAATTTTCAATTATACCATATATCCCCTACTACCCAAACTCCATCACCAAAAGCGGAAAATACCCTAGGCTACTCTCTCAATTATTTTTTTGATTTGTTTCTTGTTTGCTACAGTTAGTAATGAACTTAAACATTGTTTTCAGAACTATTTTAAAAAAACTCAGTGATTGGGCTTATACAAAACTCCTATTAATAGAACGCGTATCACATCCGTGTACATTACGTTCAATGAACCCAACTCCGTCACCAGGGCCTCTACAATATATCAACGAATTGATTATAATTTTTTTCTAGTTTGTTTTTTTTCTCCCTTCATCTTAAATTGTAAAAATAGAAAACTAGTTTTGAAGATTTAAAACAGTATTAAATTGTATTTTAGCAAGAAAAAATAACGTTAATATAACGTATTTTTTATGTAATAACGTCACGCTACGTTATCTACAACATGTAGCGTATTAGGGCAAATTGAGACGAAAAATAAAATATTTTTAGCCATATTCAATATGGTATGTCTTATTATTAATCCTTTGTCAAAGACCTTCATAAATATGACTGACATGTAAAAATGAGCATATTGACGCACATGTCGGAGGTATCGATGGAATAGCACAGGAAGGAAAAAGTGCTTACTGATTACACATAAAATATGATAGGTACAAAAGATCACGTGTAATTGTTATTTGTTTTGACGCATTATTGAACTTGACTGTCATAATTTCTCGGCAATTGATTGTAAATTTTCAGCATGTAAAAAATGACGTCACAATCGCAGTCGTTTACAAATAGCGAGTTTCCCGAGAGTGGCGGAGTTGGGGGGTTTGGCGATATTGGGGGTGGGGTGGCTTTCCCAAAATTGTGAATTTCATGGCCCCTGGTTCAGGGGTTCTGCATGGTGTTTGGGCGGGGCTCCATTGATAACATAGCAAAATGCAATAATTAATGCTAAATAAAATCTTCTCCTATGCTCCAGAGTGAACTAAATGCAATAATATAAATGTAAATGTATAAATATAATTATAAATAAATGTGCCTTTTTCTGAAGTTTTCTCTGATCCTGGGTATCTAGGAGGCAAACGGAGTACAAAATTAAGTGTAATGTGGAGTAAAGGAGAATTACTCCCCTTTGCTAAATTGTTTTAATCAAGAAGTCCTCGTGTATATTTTAATTAAGACGTTTTTGATTGAGTGAGAATACAAAAAAAGAATGTTATATATATATAGAAAAAAATGAATGTTTGGTTTAACTGAGCAATGCATTCTCGAAGTCAGATTCTTGCCTAAAAGGTAATATAAAAGATTGACATAAAAATTATTTATGTAGAAAAAGGGCCCATTGTACACAGAATGTGTATTAACTATGTATAATGTCAAGTTTGACGACTGACGAGTTTTTTAATGAATGAATTCAATAGCTACCCAAGTTATACTGGTATAAATTGGGTTGTGACAGTTAACGTGGTTTATAAAAAGCGTAAACTGTTCCGACCTAGGTTATACCAGTAGAACTTGGGTAGCTTTTAAATTCATTCCTTATAAATGAATTTTCCATCGATGAGTATAGAAATTAGGACATATTTCCTTCAAAAATGCCTTTAAATGAATCTTATCTTAAAACTCACGTCAGGCGGATTGATCATTGTGACGTAGGCAACACAGGTTATACAACATGATATAAATTCATTTTTCTGTCCAATCAATTGGCGTGTTACTACCAGAATTAAATTATTGTCATAAAATCATGGTTGACAAGAGACTGCATAAAAACTTATTAGGCCTATACTTTATCAAAGTGAACAAATGATCACAGAGAGTTAGGGTGACTAGGGGACATTTAGTTAGTGACAAGTGGCAAATAACCGCGTTGTATAGGCAAGCCTCTAGCTCTTTGTGTACTCAATTGTGGCACTAGGCAAGCGACAATACCATATGTATATATTGAATACCTTACACCCTAGGCAAGTGTCCATTGTATTTGTATATTTTGCATTTATTATCATCCCTGTAAGACCGGTGGGAAACCAAGTGCGATCACAATGAGATCACTTGGATCTCGCACGTTACAATAAGCAACGGTATTTTTTTAAAGAATTTGGAATTCGTAGCAACATTGCTTCATCTATAGGTTGATTTTGTTTGTTTTATTTTTACTTCTATGGATCCTTTACAGTGTTGTATTAAACCAAGGTTATCGTTAAGGCCCTTGGACCTCTTGTTAATATAGTATTCACTTAAGGACAGATGATGCAAACATTTTTTTTCTTTGGAGGAGATTTAATATCATGTCACAGTTTTACAAAAGTAGATAATTCTTTGAATTTTTTCTCCTTAGACTTAGAGAATGAAATACCTTTCATATTTTCCCCCAAAAAGTACACAACTAGAGTAATCATGGTAAAATTGTTTAATCTTCATTCATTTACTCTCTTTTTTTTCTTCAAAAATGTTTCTAAAGGAGCACAGAGTAAACTGATATTACATTCTTGCATTTTCTTACATGAAAGATATGACACTTGGAAAATATTAGTTGATACTTCAATAAAATTACAAATATGGACAAACACACTCAGTAAAGGCTTACAAAGGAAAATTCATTTCAAAATATGTTAGCTTGGTGCTAAAAGTGTAATACAAACTTTAAAAAAAATACCTTGCCAGTTGAATTTTATGAGGAAAAGCAAAATGGTAAAAATCATCAGAATTTGGAATTCTTAGCAACATTGCAAGAAGATTGAAACACATTTTTTTTTCTAGTATTTTGCCTTGTTTTAAATTTGCTCATTCGCTTGTTAAAAGAAATAAATATTTTCTGCATTAGACCCATTTTAAATTCTACATGTTTTACTTGCTACGGTGGCAAATAAAATTTGAAAAGATTCTTGAATGTAGTAATAACTTGGTTCAGGCACCAGAAAAAAATTAATATTCTATTTTAATAGAAGAATAAAACTATGAACGAATGCACGTGTAAAAAAGTGTTAAAATCAATAATATAGCTAAAAACAATTTCAAGTCACTTGGAAAATGCAGGTAAATATAAATTAGGTTAAAATACTACAGTTCTTTATGAACTGTTTCAACTGATTATCGAAATTTTAGATGAAAAATTTGTTTTACTGATAATTTTTACGTAAACAGGATCTGTTATAAATGCACGTGCATTTTACATATACAAGTATATTAGAGGTAAAAGAAACCAATCTATCAATGCATTACTTAACTGGCAATGAGTCTTCCTGGTCATTAGAGCTTACAGTTCAGGGGTGAACTGTACAACCATCCTCTGTACCAAAATAACATAAAACATGAAAACAGATTCATTATTGAAAGTGACCTGAAAACTCTAAAGCATTTGTATGAGGAACAAGTTGATTTTTCGAGATTGATTAAACGCACTGAGTGGAAAAAATGAAACATGTGGAATAATTATTGATTATGTTGAACAACTATAATTTAAAGCCCGAATTGTTTGCCAATGTTGGCTCTACCATTACATAAAAAAAAATCTTTAATATATATGTTGGACAAGCATTGCGCCAGCATGTTGGCCCAACAATGGGCCACAGAAAATTAGACATTGCGCCAATGTTTTGGTACAAACCTTGGGCCAACAAAGTGTGTTATATGGAGCCAACGTTAACCCAATGTAGGCATGG